CCGCCTTGGCTACACTAACTCACCTGGCGGGCAGCAGGTGAAGGGAGCTCAGTGGGCTTTGTCTAGATGGGCACCTGGAGACTGTGGTCACGGTGCCCGCCGTGGGAGCAGGATGCCAGTGACATGGGGGCCCGAGAGTGCGGGGAAGCGGGTATTTATCACAGGGCTCGGGAGGAGGCGGGCCGGGGGGCGGGGCCTGGAAAACACTTTCATAAGCGTGAGTCAGCAGGGGCCCTGGGTGAATGAACTTGCCCCTGGGTCCGCCTTAAAGGGCCTGCCTGGGCCACCTGCCAGGGAGCAGGAAGCTGACCTGCCCAGAGCCCGGCCCCTGCCCTGGGGCTCTGTCCCTTAAGGAGGAGCCAGACCCTGGGAGGGGCCGCCCTGACCTTTCCCTAGGGGCGGAGGAGAGCACACTTTGAGGGGGGCAGGACAACTCCTTTGAGTAGTAAGAACTTCCCTGCTCCCTGTTCCCTAGGATCCCACTTCCGGGGGCGGTGGACTCCACTCCAGCTCTAGCCCTCTGACCAGACTGTCCTGTGATCCAGCTCTGCCACCTCCCGCCCAGGCACTCCTGGCAAGCTGCCCTATGGGTGAGCCTCAGTCTCTCCACCAACGGCGGGCAGAGCAGCAGACTTCCTGGAGGGTGTGAGGGCCAGGGCTTCCGAACCCGCTCTCTGGTTCCCACGCTCAGCTTCCAGCTGCCCTCACACCTGGATCTGATCCCCGCTGGCTGTCACTGTCCCCTCCCTGTGCCGCCCAGGGCTCTGTGTGGCAGGAGGTTTTCTGAGGCTGTAGCAGAGCTCAGCACGAAGTCGATGCTGGGATTTGTTGAGCAGAAGTGGGGTGCACGGGACAGCCTTTGGCCATGCACCTGGGCAGACATCAGCCACTCTTTGCTGTTGTCATTGTCCCCTCATCTTCTGCCCCCCTGCCACCTGCACCTGGGGCCTGCAGGTGGCCAGCAGGAGAGCTAGTGGGGGGTGAGGCAGGGCCCTCGCTTTGGTTGCAAACTTTAAGGAGAAGCCAAGACTCTCCCCAGTTAAGAAGATAACATTCTGATGCAGTTTTCTGAAAAAAATAAAAATGAATGCAAAGAATGCCAGGATAAAGAGTTAAAATGTTAAATAAAGACAGGACCTATAACACAGAGTCTGTTACACAAAGGAAAACCAGCACTGCCAGTCCTATCTTTATTTACAC